CAGACCATCTTATGCATTAATAAAGTTTATTAGGAAAAGTTCTCATTTCTATTAGTTACACCACTCTACTTACCAACTGTCAAAGGTTAACTGCAGGGTTAAGACAGAGAGGCAGACAACCGCTCATGCTCATATTCACACCTGTGGCCAATTTAGGATTGCCAGAAAACGCAACTCATGCATGTGATGGGACTGTGAGAGGAAGTCGGAGAGAACCTACACAAGTGCTGGGACAACATGCAGGCTCCACAGATTTGACTACAACTGTTAAAGAAAAGGAAAATAAAAGGAAAATGCAATATCAAACAGCCTACTGGAAGGTTTTTTGTAAGACAGCTTAATACGTAATATAATTGTATATACCAAAATACCCAAGTGCCAACAGGCTGGCTAGCTAGTGTTGGCTCCAGCCCGACCGCGACCCTGAGAAGTGGAAAAGTTCAATGGATGGATGGATGTCTCCTGTGGTATTACTGACTGTTATTACTAGTTAGGACAGCTGGAGGCACTACACCAGTGCAAGACTTGGTGGGTTCTAAGGATCTGTGTCAGCCTGCTGTGTGTGATTCCTGAGTCAGGTTTATGGCGTTTTGCCCTGACATCGCATGTGATGAAGGTGGGGGTATGCCCACTAGAGACCAGCAGTTTGCACATAGATCCAATCTAGAAATAGGTGATGCAATCATATACATACTGCAGAGAGCATACTCCTTTCAAGATGTGCTCTAGAAGAAGGTTAATGTTGCATTCACTGACCTTTCTTAAAGAAAGCTACTTTCTCCTTTCAGGTTTCCCATATAAAGCTAGAGCAGCAAGCGCTTCTGTCCATTTGGCCTCTGCTAATACTGTGTGTAGTAGTAATAGTAGTTATGTAAACTTCTAGTTACTTACTTAGTTAAAGTGATAAAGGCGACAAATCTTTGTTTGGCTGTTTGGTGCGGTAATTTCTTTATTAGTAGAAGCTTGGTAGGAGCTCTCTGACATTTTTATTCACATTTCTGTCCTGTTTTGTGGGCAGCCAAGGAGCTCAGGCATTAGAGTTTTGGTTTCAATCTTGAGAATGGTGTTTCTTTACTTTCTAGTAAGAGTGAGGTTTTGTTGTGGCCTTGGAGACCTTGACATTGAACTGCTTCTTTTTTCTGCTCCGATTTATTTTAATGGTGGAAGTTAATCGTGAATAAATTCCTATGATTTATTTGGAGGCTTAATCTGTGGTTTGCCCTGCTGGCACTTTGTGTTAACTTCATGTGTCCTCCAGACTTTGCAGTAGAGGGAGTTATAACAGCTTGGTTTAGTGCAAGGTCATTTCAGATGCAGCTTTTTAAAGAGCTCAACAACCATCACCATCATTTTCAAAGGGAAGGGCTGCTCAGGAAGTGAAACTTTATCATTTGAAAAAGCAAATCTTACATATAATGTTCTAAATTATTTTAGTTTCTATTTGGATATTAGATCTATAAACAATGTGTTGCTGAATTGTTACATCAGGTACGTTTTAGAATGTTTAAGGTGCTGAACTCTAAATCTTATATTAGCTTTATGCTAACTGGGATTGGAAATCAACTATGTAGCTCATGTAACATCAACTCCGTGCTCGACCCTCAAAGACCAGTGAATGTCAGTGAAAGAAAGAAGCTTTAGATTTCATTACATATTATGGTTTTGCTTTTTTTATTTAAAGGGAAATAAAAAAAGTTGTGGTTGATTCAACAGGCACAGCTGAAGTTGCTGACTCTCAGTAAGTTAACTGTGTTCAAAGCAGTTAGGTCACTCCAGCTCCACTTTACACTGCAGCTCCACTCTGGGTTTCCCTGCAGCCTCTGCGGCGCCTCACTTCTCCCTCCCTCCCATGTTTGTCTCATCCGCCATTTCAAATAGGATTACAGCAATCCTGTGATGGTGGAAGAGGGAGAGGAGATTTGAGAAAGGAAGTGGAAATGTATCTGAAAATAGGGGCTGGAATTGTGAAGCAGTGATTAATGCATGCGTTACTAGTTATGAGTAAAACTCATCATCAATGCAGTCAGCCAATGTAAATGTGTTAGTAGCAAATGCAGAACACTGATACCCGTTTGTTACCTTTCAAATTCAAAGCATAATTATATGCAGTAAATAAATAAATAAAAAATATACACAGCCATCCTGTCTGGATCAAAGCTCATTTAAAATGGACTGAGGAAAAGTGGAAACTGCTCTAAAGTCAGGAGAATAAAAATGTTTATTTCTATTTGGAAAACAGAATGGCTTTTTAGTAGAAAGGTCCAGGTGCTGAACTGGCATGTCTGTAGTGCAAACCTTTGAACAACTGAAAAAGGCCAATGGAGACCAGGGACTGCTGAACAGCTCTGAAAGATGAGAATGGGACAATATTCCCTCCCAAAGCCCAGCAGCTGCTCTCCTCAGGTCTGGGCTGGAACAAAAACTGGCATTTATTGGTAAATATTAAGATGTATAACTTTGTTTATACACATATAATGTATATATTTCATTTTGTTTGATTATTGGTATTGATGCAGTTTTTCTTTTTAAACAGGTTTGTACAGAGGTGGGAAGTAACATACTTATATAGTAAAGTATAAATACTTTGTTACTGTACTTAAGTAGAATTTTCAGGTATCTGTATTTTATTTAAGTAGTTTTTTTCCTGACAACTTTTTACTTTTACTGACTGTATTTTTTA